ACAATCACTGCCCTGTTCCTGTTGGCAACACCGTCCCTGATGCAAGTCAGGATGCCTTTGGCCTTCTTGGCTACCCAGGCACACTGCTGGCTCATGTTCAGATGAGCATCAACCAATACCCCCAATTTTATCTGCTATATTATATTAATTATATTTAATATTGATATTTAATAAAATAAAAAATATGTAACGTTAGTAGGAGCCATTGAGAGAGCATAGAGAACAGTTGCCCTCTAAAAATGATTTTCTATTGGCTTATTCAGATAGATTTCAGAAACTTGTCAACAAACACATTCTGTGTGCTTGGCAGTATTAACACACTAGATGGTGTTAACATGAAAATAAAAAGGAAAAGTGCTGTCAGCAGGAGATGATTGCTCTAGACCAGGAATAACATAACCAATTATCTTAGCCCAGCTGATATTCCGGGCTAACTAATCACTGAAATTGCAGAAGGAAAAGAATCCAGTTCCATGGAAAGCAGCTTTCAATACATGTATAACAAAGATTGTGTGCTTTATTTCCCTCCAAACTCCTTTTCCTTAGCATTAGACAAAAACGGACTGTTCCAGCCCCACATTTTGAGGTGAGTCTGTTTCCTCCTTAGTGAGCACTGTTGAGTCACCTGGCAATCTCACCTGATTTCAATGATGTGGAGTTCATGAGGAACAGCAGTGAAACTGGGTAGGGATTTCTTTGTGCGGGAGGCATTTCAGTGTCTGGAGAAAGGGTGGCTGCTGGATGGAAGAGGGAGTAGGTGATTTCCTTAAGCAAATCACAAGGGCTTAATATTTTCTTGTTTGGTTGTTGTGTAGTGGTTTAGAAAATGTTAAGATCAATTGAATTAATTGTGTGAAGTATTTCACAAATGGTAATTGAAGTCTCTTTTAGGGAGTTGAAGCATCTTAAATTATAAAAGTAAGATAAAAACTTTGTCCCTTATTGTATTTCCAATATACTTTGAAAATAGCTCCACGTTTATTTGTGTAGAACAAGATTATTTTTCTAGATGTAGAAACTATTGAAGCATGCTCTGTAGCCCTTTCGCAGTTAAAGTGTGACTTCAGTTTTTTGATTGAAAGCTGTTTTCAGCTGCTTTTGGTGTTCACATCTCTGTTTTTTAAACAGGGTCCTAACTAATGTGTCTGGGTGAAATGAGTTTGATAAGGAAGATGGATAGATATAGAATTCCTGGAGTGCAGTTACGGAAAGGAATTTTATCATTTGGCTCTAAAGCATCTCAGTTGTAAAACTACATACACAAGGCTATCTTTTGTAAGTGCTGATATGCCTGTAAGGTGTGATGTTATGCAGTGGTGATGTGGAGAGGTAGCTTTCTGTGCCCAAATAGCAGCGTAGTGATCCTGTATGGGTCTTGCTGTCATAAATGACTAACTGTTCCTGTGCTCTGGGGGTGCTACAAGGTCCAGGGGTGTGGGAGGAGCAAGGAGAACTGTTGAAGTGCAAGGGTAGCTCCTAGAGAGCAGTGAGTCTCTTTCCTCATGCAAAACTATGTAGGCAGTCCACTATCCTGCTGCAGGGTGGGCTGAATCCTTGAGAGGAGGGGAAAGCAAAATTAGTACTTTCTCTTCCATTACAGGCAGCATAGGTTACACCTCATAAAAGTTCAAAGTAGATAGCCTCACCAAGCAGATCAGCCTCTGAATTCAAGCTGTAGTGTTGCTGACCAGCTTCTTCCAAGCTGTGTTCCTTACTTCTCTCTCCCCACCTCTGTTTCCTCACAAAAGGCTAAGCAATGTGACATTTACCTGCAGGGTGAATAGTAGTAGAGGTGAATTGTCAAGTTTCTGGTGAGCGTTTGAACATAGAAAAATTTTTGTGCCTGTACATTGTCTTTAGAAAGCTGCAATTGTTTCCTCAGGAAATGGTTCTCTAAGTAGGAAACCTGCAGATGTATGCAAGTGTAGAGGTGATAGCAAAGCTGGTTGATACCCTGCCTTCTGTGCAGTGGTATCTGAGCCTCTCAAAGAAAAGCCATAGCTCTGTGAAAGGTCATGGCTTTGCACTAAAATGGTTGCAAAAGGGAGGGAAAGAGGGGACAGGAAGATGCTGTTACTGTCTGTAATTCATACAACTTCTAAGCTTCTTTGTGTGGGAAGAAATGGTTGTCCAACATGCATCCTAAATCTGATGAAATCATAACAAGGCTCATAAGGCACAACTATCCTATAACTTCAAATAAAAAAAAAAATCTGATGGTGAAACAATGGGGAGACTGATGGCATTAATAAATTGATCTTTCCATGATAATCATAGCTGGAAAGGAGTATGTGTCACAAAGGGTAAGATGTTACACTTCTTGCAACTCAAACTGGATGCTATACTGAAGTCACTAGGACAAACAACTTAGTAAAAAGCAGAAGGTACATGCAAAGTTGCTAACACTTGTACTTCATACGGTGCATACTCACACCAAGACGAGTGAAAAAAAGGCATGGAATGGGATTTTTAATCTGATTCCCCATGAGGATGAAGAAATCCAACCTCTTTGTTCAGATCCTTGTATAGCCATCCATACTTTCTAAATAGCTGAAATATGCTGACAGATGGATCAAGAGAAATTGAATATATTGGAGAACTGCATAAACTCACAGGCTAAGCATGAGATTTAGTCTAACGAATGCAAGATCAGCTTGTAATGCAGATGAGAATACTGATTATACTGTGATTACCATGCTTGAGTATTTCAGTGCACATGCCTGTTTCCAGCTGAAGTCTGAAATAGTTTTCTATCCATTTTGTAAGGAATGCCCATGTTTTATTTATTTAGACGAGTGGTTAGAATCCGACTGTTACATACAATAAGAGTGGGAGATGGGAATAGAGATGTAAATGTCTTGATTCAGTTCAGAGCCATTCATACTCCTTCCATTCTTAAATAGGAAGGCAGTGAAAGGTGTGGGGTGGCTTACTGGTGTAGCTCTGTCTTGTGCATTGTTGAACAGATCAGCCTGTGCAGAAGATAGCTTGCTCTCCTGAGTCACACCTATGGCCTGGCTGCACCCTTGCTTGGTGGGAGGAGAATGCGCAGCTCAATTAAATGCTGAGACTGTAATCCAAGCTCCTTGTATCTGCTGTGTGTGCTTTTATGGAGCTGGTTCTCACTGCTGTTAGCACTCTTGATTGGCCTGGGTGTGTTTTCTTCGCTGCAGGAAAACCACTTAGGCTGTGAATAGTTTACTTATTTCTACTCTGTAGAGAAATGGTTTTAACTCCCATGTTGAATCTCTAAGATGCAGGCTTAGGAGGTCTGATGTAGCTTGTCTTGACCTTGTGTGGAAAGCAGCATCCTTTACTGGCACGGGTGCCATGTGCTAAATACTCTGCATTGCTGCAGTGACAGAGGTGTGTTCTGATGTCTTTATGTTGCTGTGGTATCTGAAAGCCACGGGCCATTAGTCAGGTGACAGTTTGTGCCTAGATACTGCTGTGATTGATGCCCTATAAATACTTGAGAGGAAAGAGGTGAGAGGGGGAGGGATAGGCAGATAGAAATGCCCTTATTCCAGGAGTTGGCCATCATGTGTATTTGACATAAAAGTTAAGGTGACTAAAAATTAATTCTAATCAACTGAACTCAGCACAATAAAAAAGAGGAACTAAAGTAGAAAGCTCCCTTTCTTGAATTGTGACATCAATAGTAGCCGATTAAAATCGTCAGGAAATACTTGGGCATGTGGAATTATTAGAGCATACAAAGGGAAGAGCCTGTCTGAGGTTTAAAGTGTTATGTTAGGACCCAGGACTTGATCACCCTGAGGACTTCTTATGCCACTGTAGTCAAGTCACTTATTGTATGGGAACTGTTGAGTCACGGCCTGAACCTCTGATTGATCACCTGAGGCGAGCCATGAGTCAGCCAGAGGAGCACAGGTGGAGGCAATCCTAGACCTATTTAAGAGCTGGCTACCAGTGGGGAAGGATCTCTTCTGGAGATCTGCTCTGCTGGAGTTTTGTAAATGAGTCAAGGATATGGGTAAGTTTTCCATCCATTCTCTTTTTGCTATCATAATCTGCTTTGCCAAACTCTCTTGTTTATTTCATAATTATAACATCTTAATATTCATTGATTATACACTTATCGCCTGTTTCCCTTTTTAAACATAGGTAACTTTCCACACAGTTACCTGGTAAAAGGTATTGTTTTTCATAGTGAAAGTGCATTGGCTACTATAATAAATTCAAGTACTATGTCTAGTAGAAGATTCTTGCTAAGATAAGTAATTACCTGTGATAGAAAGACAAAACAGTGTTTGTCCCTCTCATGTTTGCTCTGCGCAAGGCATTTAGTGCCAATTATGACCAGATCTCAAAAAAAAAAAAAAGTCACTTAGAATCAGATATGCAAGGATAGCGTTTCTGCTGGTTTCCTTTGTGCTGGAAAGCCCTCTGTGTAGGGAAGGGCCTGGGGCTGAGCAGACTCCAACAGCATCTCCTTAAAATAACTATCAGTCTGAGATGGGAAACTTGAAACAGATTTTGAGAAAGCTGTACACAGTTGTTCAGTGCATTTAGGATGAGACCTTTTGGAATAGGTGCTGCCCAACTCAAGCAATGAGTAAAGTATGAGGCAAGGGCCATCCAGGTCCTCTTGCAAAGGAGTGGTAAATTCCCTGTTTATTTTACCTTACCATTTTCAGGCCATCTTTTTTTGTGGGGCACAGGCTATTTTTTCTGTTAGTACAAGATGGTTCTGCAAAACATGCCAGTGATTCAAAAAAGCCAAATATCATTTTCATGTCTACAACTTCTTGTGTGTCTAAAGGGAGGCTGATGCTGTGCAGTAAACATTTATTCTTTGATATTTTGGTATTGTTGCCAAAATATGCAGTGTTAGTGATGGCTTGCTCTCTGTTATTGAACAGCTGGGGGTAGTTGTGTAGGGGAACAGTTTGTTCAGGGCTGGTGATTGAGCACCTGGGGAAGGGGTGTGGCTGGATGAGGGAGCACAGGCAAATTGTTTGCACCTGTGTTCTCAGGGATCAGAAGATCCAGGTTGGAGTCACCCTGGGCTCATATGAGTGCCAGCCACCGAAGAGAGTGTACCTCTTGCACCTAGGCTGCTTCCTGAGGAGTGCTGCAGAGCCAGAGAGCGCCTTCTCCAGTTGGGTGAGTTCCATTCTTCTTTCTGTACAGGACTACTAGCCTACATGCAGATACTTTGCCTGGCATCACTGAGAACCTGTCTGAAGCGATTTTGCTTTTTTGTGTGTAGAACAACTGGCAAGCTAAATTCTATTCTGCTCTTGACTGCTTTGAATGTTGCTGCTTGATGTTCAAGTGACCTGATTAGTTTCAGGTGTGATGTAGAGAAGAGAAAGGGCTCATGTTTCTGAAAGCATTGCAGTATATAAAATGGATTAGCATATAATTCACAGCACTGTATTGGGAGCTGTCTTCTACTATCTGATATTTGATTGCTATATTTTTCTGTGTAAATCGATGAATGTTGTGGCAGATGCCTTCCATTAAGCTTTGCTTTTTGTTTTTCTGATCAATTCTACAGTAAATGAACAAGTGTTTTTCTCTAGCATGTCTACACCACTAAGTCAAAATGGGTTCTCGCTCCAGGTTAAGTAAATTAGTCAAAAGCTTAGACAGGATATGATCACAGCATTGGTTTGGGGGTTTTCTTGGTGTTTCTTTTCCGCATGCTATTATATCTTTCTGTATCATTAGGCTGCAGAGTAGATATTTACCTGGTTTGAAAGGTATCTGAATTTGTCAGCTGCATGTTACAGTTGCATTCCACTTTGTCTCCATTAGCTGTCTTACAATACTGTTACTTCTCAGGCAAAGTGTCTTACTGTTGTATCTTGTATTTATGCATTTTTTTTTTTCTGTGCTAATTTGATGTTTGATAAATCTTTTTTGGCAAACACATTCCATCAGTTTCTTACTAATGTTGGACTAAGTGCTTTCAAATAATCTGGTTGGTTTTTTTTGTTAGTAGTTGAGGAACTGCTGTACTGAAGTAGCTGTGTCAATTTCTAAGAAAGGAGTAAGTTTATCTAATCTATAGCCAAGGTCAGGATTTTCAATCGCAGTAGGTGGTCACTTAGATTGCATTATGGATCACTTAGCACTGCCTCTTGAAGAAAGAAAAAATCAAAACCCTTAGGGTACAACTACTTTCAGTTAAGAAAGTTACTAGACTATTTTTGAAGGGGACAGAGTGCTAATCCTGTCACAGAAAAGAGGAGAATTTGTCTGCTTATAATATTCTGCAATTAGTTAACAATGATTAGCCAAAAAAGCAGATGAGGGTACTCAGCTTCTGAGACAGACAGGTGTGTTTCTCAGTGCTACAAAGAGTAAAAACCTTGCAGTAATTTGTTTGAAATTCTGCTTTTGCTTGAGAGCTGGTTATAAGGATATGTGCTTTCTTTCTCCTTCCTTTGTATAAGGAGAGCAGGGGACCATGTCAAGGATAAGGTCTACTACCTATGTTGTCTTGGCTCACTGCTGTTGGAAAATAATGTGGCTTTGTGTTCTGTACTGCTTACCTTTTGTGGAAGCCTCTACTATTGCATCTTTGCTTCTGGGAGCCTCCCTTCACATGTTACCAAGCATTGGGTGCTACTGGCAGGATTTCTTACTTGGAGAAAGCATTTAGGCAATGCTGTCAAAGGTCATGTTGTTAAGAAGCCTTCTGTGCTCTTCATAGGTATCTCATGGACTTTGGCACATAGTTTTCTTGTGTCCCATCCTGTGAAGGCTCTTTGGTAGTCTCAGTATAGCAGGTGGCTTTTACTTTTCCATTGATGGACATTTCTGTACAAATGAACAAGTCATTCATTGCTCTTTGCAGAAAGCCAGTAGTTTTCTTTGCTATGCTTGTATCAAAGTGCTATAGAGAACCATGAGGGAAGTGAGAAGTCTCATGGAATAAAAGTGATAGCTGAGCTTTTCTCGGGTAATGTTCACCCTGACTGTTTCTAGGCCAGGGGAGGGATAACTGAGGGACCTGTGCTGTGAATGTGGAGTGGGTGGAATATCTAGGATAGTCCTTAGGCTCAGATTCATGCTAATATAGCTGCAGCTAAAGTCTATTTTCAGGACTGAAATTCCTGGATACATCTACAAAAATGCTCCTTATTGTGAAAGGTGAGATTTGGCATATCAGTTCTACTGTCCAAAACCCAGAGGAGAATAAATGAAGTAACCATATCTTATAATAAATCTAATTTTAGCAAGTATTGGCTTAGCTCTGTGTGAACTTGCCAGGAATTTTGCAGGGTAATTTTCTGTCTATCTTAAAACCACCAACCAAACCCAGGCTGAACTTTCCTCATGTAAAAGACATGCACGGGTGATCAAAGGGAAAATTTTAAATATGATTATGCTTTGCTTGTATTGAGTAGTACTAGCCATGTAGACTGCAGTTGCATGGGGGGAGGGAAATAAAATGCAGACCTTGATGTGTTCTTATTAGATAATAACCTGCATTGGATGTTGTATATGGATTTCCTTGTCTTTCTAGTGAGTTTCAGTGTGTAATAGCATAGTGGAAGAAGGAATAGTCTGCAGAGGGGTAACTACTGTGATCAGTCTCTCAACTCAGTTTTCATGGGCTTTCTCCTTACTCAGCAAAACTTCAGGTTCCCTGAATCTCTTGTTGAAGTGATCAGCCTCCAAGAACCCATAAACAAACTGAAAAGCTTTCAAAATTAATGCTAGATGAAGACCCCACATCTGTCTCTGTTATGCACCTGTCTGACAGAGATCAGATATTCCTTCTTTCCTTACACTTCTACTCCTTTCTTTATGCATGCTAAATGTGTTCTGATGGATGTAACTAAGTATAGCTGCAGTGAGTGAATTTGCATGCTGCATAAAGTGCTTTTTTTTTTTTTTTTTCTCCTATCAGCAACCTTGTCTCTGAATTTCAGTAGCCATCAGTAGTATTTTAAACACAATAACATTTGTGGAAATTTCTATAGGCAGAATGGGAAGAAAACGTGTAATACCGAGTAAGAAGACTTGTGATGGTGAAAACTTAATTTTTTAGCTATGCTACAGCAGTTTGAACCTTTGCATGTATATGATCCATTGCTAATGCTATTGATGCAATCAGCTGCATCAGATCCCAAGGGCCAGAGAACAATTCACTATGTCATGAACTGCTATAATTTTAAGTAACATAATGCTTATCTCTTGGTCTCCATGATACAACCAATTTTAAAAGTTGTAAGACGATATTGCATCAGCTCTAAAAATGCATTGCATAATTTAATTTCATGACTAGAAACTAAAGCAGTAGGTATGTGACTACTTTTATTTGCTAATTGCCTAACACCCTTTCACAACTGTGCTGTGCGCTCTATTTTGTTTACAGACTATGATTAATGAACTTGTTAGCTCCAGATTTAAGTTTGTATGTAGGCAGGATGCTCAAGTTGACACTGAACTGGTTCTACAAGTGAAAGCAGCCAATAGGCAAGACATAGTAAGGTGGTCATAAACACACATTCAGTTAATGCTTATTTTTTTCTGTTGTCTTGCAAATTGGGTGAGTCTGAATTACTACATATCTGTCTGCAAATGGGGAGGTAACCAATGTGTTTTCTGTGTTTTGTGTGCTGAGTGATGCCTTACAGCTAGGAAAAGATAGCTTAGTTAAGGCTGCCTGTGCATGGCATTCCTTGTGTTCAGTGTTCTGCCAGCTTGCAAGAAGGAGCTGTAGTTCCTCATCAGATCAAACATCACAGTAGAGTATCAGTTTCCTTCAGCGTAAAATGTAATTTCTTCTTGGTCTCTACCGTTTAAAATACATCTATTCCTTAACACTTTAAATATTGGCATCATTCCTTTGCTTATGAGGACTGGCTTTTATTAAGTCTAGTTGGTGACTTGTATGTTCTGTAATAAAGAAGACTGTGAAATCTGTCAGCAGTACTGTAACCCATGGCTCTACATATGTGACATCTGTTTCACTGTTGTCACAAAATCACCTTGGTGGATGGGGCACTGAAGCAGATGTACTGTGCTTACATGTTTCATTCTAGCAGCTGAGGTATGATAGAGGTAACTCCTTGAAGGATCACTTCAACCAACCAGTGCAGTGGGGGCAAATATTTTCGGTCATCACTGACGCATCTGATAGCATGCTTCTAGAAAGGGAAGAAACGGCATATCACACACCTCAGTTTCATATTCTCAGTTACATTCTAGCCTTGGCATGAGTCTTCAATATCCACTGGATGGCAATCCCTTCCTCGTGAAGTGTATCTGTCCTGCAGCCTGGATATATTCTGTGTTGAGAGTGGTCTCCAAAGGCTGTTATTGAAATGGGCATATATGGCAGGAAAAAATCCTTTTTTATTGTATATACTCAATTCCGCAATGCTTTAAAGTTTGAATCGTCAGTTTCAAACCAGCTGGCTTTCATGCTTTTTTGTAAGACAGTTTTGCCAAAATACCAACAATGGTCTCAACTGTTGGTTTGGCACAGCTGTGCTCACAGTGGTCTTCACAAAACAACTGCAATATTTAGAAAAATGCGCAAGAAACTTGAGCCTGTTAAATACTTTCGTGCAAGGCATGACATTGAAAAGATTTTGCTCTGTTTTTCAATTTCTCATCTGTGGGAATTTCCAGTCTTCAGTGACAGTTTCTCTTATTACTGTTTAAAAAAAAAAAAAAAAACACAAGGCAGCAAAAAAAGTCAATCCTATTTTAGTAGTTTCAATAGTAATGAAATTATTTTGGTCAATCCAAAAATTCATGGAAGCTACAAATGAGTTTCTTATAAAACCGTTCAAGTGGAAAGCAATCTGATCCTGTTTAGCCAAACTGAATTTGCAAAGTTGGACTCCAGAAGAAAAAACAATAAATCACACATAGTAGGGGTTCTCACACCCAGCCAAAATGTATTTGCCCCCAGCGTTTCCTCTTCTTGACCCTATTGTTGTCCTTCTAGAAGCTCCAGGCCTCTCATATGGGAATCATTTGAATTGTCTCTAGTCATCCTAGCATCACTGAAATGGCTGTGGATTGATCTCTTCCAAGCTTGGAGAGCTGTGATCTCTATCTTCCTAGTGTTTAGAGAGCACATATCAAGATGGAGCAAGCCCTGCAATGCCACTTACTATGTAGAT